ACTCTTCACTAACCATAATTTTATATATTTACACCAAACTATTAATACACCACATAAAATAAAATTATTTTTGTAACACTACTGTATATCAATCAAAACTATAATATTTTCACATTTTATATTAATTTTTACTATTTTTATTTTAAAATTTTTAAGATTTGCAATTTTATAAAATTTATCCCGCACGAACGTGCGGGTCCAGATCTAGTAATGTATATCTAAGTCTGACCAAAAGAAAATCTAAGTCGATAAAAATAATAATTTCAAGTGTAATTTTCTAACTATTTTACTCCTAATTTTATGTCATCATCTGAACTCCTAATTTTTATTTATTTATGAGAGATAAATGACCTTTTGTCCTTCGACTACACATCTAATCTAATCGTTGAATAGTCAATTCATGTGCTTGAAAAACTTATAAAATCTGATTCGTATGTGATTAATATCACTTTCTCAATGACATATATGAAGGTTAAACATGTGGATTAGATTAACTAATAATTAATTATTACCCTCCATATTTTGTTTACTTTTTGATGACATAACTTTTATAAAGTTTAACCCCTTAATGATTATTGTACTACATAAACCCCAAAAAACCTTTTCTTTTTCCTTTTACCTTTTGTGTAGTACTAATGTCAACGTGCGGTACATAAGAAGAACCCAAGATCCCTTAAATAAAATCTTCTTGGTTTTAAGCTTTCTTCTTCATCTCTACTTCTCTATATAACTTTGAATAGTCTCACCAAAGTCCAATTTTTTAAAATCAACTACCATTTTTGGCTATTCTTTGGTCTTCGTTTCGTGTAAGCATTCAATGTTTTTTTCTTTTATCTCTTTGGGAAGTGGGAGTGTGGTCTTTCTTTGTGTGTACCTGTTTCATTAACCAGTTACGTTTCATTCTCTTTGTTTTCTTACGTCTTACAGATTTCAGAAAGAAAAAAAGGGTTTGAACCAAAAACTCATCTTTTTGTTATTGTTTTAGATTAATGGCAGATTCTTGAGTATACTTTTTTTATATTAGATCTCTGAGCAAAAGAGATAATTTGCGTCATTTTGATTTGATTCTATGGTTTAAAGATTATGCAATTAATTAAAATAATCTCTAGCTTTGCTTTTCCTTTTTGCTAAGTAACTGTTTCTTCTTGTTCTTCAGATAATTAAGCTTGGCCGTGGAAAGCAAGAGAAAAATTCTAAACTTTATATAAAATTCCCAGAATCGGATTGATCCAAAAAGAGGTACACTTTTTTTCCTCTCGTCATTTTCCAAAAAAGTGAGTTTTTAATTGATATTAAATTATTAATTATTATAAGAATCTGTCTTTTGGATTTTTGTTTTTCCAGTATTGGCAAAAAAAAAAAAAAATCAAGAAGTAGAAACTCTGTTTTTTTTTTTTGGTCTGGAAAAAAATGAGGAGCATGATGATGGATAGAGAGGGAATGAATGAGATAGAGAGAGAAGTAATAGATGACTTGGAAGAGACGCAATACGAAGCAGATGATTTCAAGTCAATTCCTCCATGGAAGAGTCAAATTACTGTCAGAGGAATTGTTGCTAGTTTGATCATTGGTATAATCTACAGTGTGATCGTGATGAAACTTAACCTAACAACAGGTTTGGTCCCAAACCTAAATGTCTCTGCAGCTCTTTTAGCCTTTGTCTTCCTTAGAAGCTGGACCAAGCTGCTTACAAAAGCCGGGATTGTGACTAAACCGTTTACTAAACAAGAGAACACTGTTGTCCAAACATGTGCTGTTGCTTGCTACAGCATTTCAGTTGGAGGTTTGGTGAATTTTGACCGTTTGTTTTGATGATGTTTGTTTTTAGGTTGGATCGATTGTTTGAGCTTTGTGTTTGTTTGATTTGCAGGTGGGTTTGGTTCATACCTTCTTGGTTTGAACAGAAATACTTATATACAGTCAGGAGGAACTCACACTGATGGGAATTATCCGGGAAGCACGAAAGAGCCTGGAATCGGTTGGATGACCGGTTTCTTGTTCTTTACTTGCTTTGTTGGTCTTTTAGCATTGGTTCCTCTAAGAAAGGTAGATATTTTAAGATTCCTGTTTCATTGAATTAGTAATTAGAGATGTTGTGGTAGGCCAAAGTTTGCGGGTCAGTCCGGTCCATATAAGTGTGCTATGGGACAGGCGAAACCCGCCAGAGAAGACTTACTACCGGGCTTAATATGGGACGAAACTGGACTATTAAGCGCGGGTTGGCTGGTTTGGTCTGTCGCAACATCTCTATTTGTACCTGGTTTGGGTCTAGATTGCTAAGTTTTCATTATGCTTTTATTTTTGTTAACCAGATCATGATCATAGACTACAAGCTGACATATCCAAGTGGAACAGCTACCGCGGTTTTGATCAACGGTTTCCACACTCCTAAAGGCAATAAAATGGCCAAGTATTAACTCGATTTTTTCGCAGTTTCTTAGCTCTCTTTCGCCGCTGCTTCTAGAGTTTTTGAATTGAATAAAACTATTTGTATGCAGGAAACAAGTGTTTGGCTTTGTGAAGTACTTCTCATTTAGCTTCATTTGGGCTTTCTTCCAATGGTTCTTCTCTGGTGGTACAGAGTGCGGATTCATTCAGTTTCCAACTTTCGGATTAAAAGCTCGGACAAACTCGTGAGTATATTTTTCTTAGTTCCATTTCTTGTATATTTATCAACATAATCTTGATGATCTTGAAAAACTTGACAGATTCTACTTCGACTTTAGTATGACATACATTGGAGCAGGAATGATCTGTCCCCACATTGTCAACTTATCTTTGCTTTTTGGCGCGGTTCTGTCTTGGGGAATCATGTGGCCACTCATTAAAGGTCTTAAAGGAGATTGGTTCCCAGCAACTCTTTCTGAAAGTAGCATGAAGAGTCTCAATGGTTACAAGGTTCCAAACAAAAAACTAATAAGATTCTACAATAAACTCTGGTCCTCTCTTTTGCGGTTCGCGCAATTTCATTCATCATAATTTGTTCATAACTCTTCAGGTGTTTATATCAATCTCATTGATCCTCGGAGATGGGCTTTACCAGTTCATCAAGATACTTGTTATCACAGGAATAAACATGTACGCCAAGTTAAAGGATCGCCACACTGGGAAATCTAGTAAGTATACACCAAAAACTATCGAAATCGTCATTTTTATAATGTATCTGATATTTGAACGTAAAACGCAGATTCGGAGAAAGATAAGCAATCTATTGCAGATCTTAAAAGAGATGAGATCTTTGTAAGAGACAGCATTCCATTATGGGTTGCAGCAGTGGGATACGCAGCGTTCTCTGTTGTCTCGATAATCGCGATCCCTATAATGTTCCCCGAGCTCAAATGGTACTTCATTGTCGTAGCTTACATGTTAGCTCCATCGTTAGGTTTCAGCAACGCTTATGGAGCAGGACTTACAGACATGAACATGGCTTATAACTATGGTAAAGTCGCTCTGTTCATCTTAGCCGCTATGGCAGGGAAAGAAAATGGTGTAGTCGCGGGACTTGTCGGATGCGGGTTGATAAAATCGATTGTCTCGATTTCTTCTGACCTAATGCACGATTTCAAGACAGGACATTTGACTCTGACTTCACCGAGGTCGATGCTTGTGAGTCAAGCAATCGGTACAGCGATCGGATGCGTTGTGGCTCCTCTCACTTTCTTCTTGTTTTACAAAGCTTTCGATGTCGGAAACCCTGCCGGAGAGTATAAAGCTCCTTACGCTTTGGTATACAGAAACATGGCGATTCTTGGAGTTGAAGGTTTCTCTGCTTTGCCTCAACATTGTCTCCAGCTTTGTTACGGGTTTTTCGCATTCGCCGTGGCAGCGAATCTCGTTAGGGATTGGTCGCCGGAGAAGATAGGGAAGTGGGTTCCATTACCTATGGCAATGGCGGTTCCGTTTCTTGTCGGAGGGTACTTCGCCATTGATATGTGTGTTGGGAGTTTGATTGTGTTTGCTTGGAATATGAGAGATCGGGTTAAAGCCGGTTTAATGGTACCAGCGGTTGCTTCTGGTTTGATATGTGGAGATGGTCTTTGGATTTTGCCGTCGTCGGTTCTTGCTTTGGCTGGAGTTAAACCTCCGATCTGTATGAACTTCATGCCGAGTAAATATTCGAGTTAAAGATAGCTTTTAGTAGTTTTACTTTTTGACTTTGTGTATCGTCAAATGAGCTAAAAAAATGTGTAGGAATTGAAGAAATAAAAAAAAAAGTTTAAGAAGTTATAGGAATTGTAATTGTATACACAATAAAGTGGTTTTGGATTATTAATTAGATAAAAAAAATTTGTAACTAAACTATACTCTAAATATTTTTTTTAGTAAAGTCTCTCAATTCTATTTAAATCATGTCCCAAATAACCTCTTTTTTTTTTTTTTTTTTTTTCTAGTTTTCATTCATTCAAATTAAAACTAAAGTACAAGAAGGATTCAAAGAACCCAAAGTTTAGAACAACATAAAGAGGACATTCCCCAATGCCACAAGAAGATAGATCAACAGAGGTTCTATGAGAGCTATAAGCCAAAAGCTAGACAATAAGACAACATTTTGAGCATGTGAAATCATGAACCCAAATAACCTCTCTAAGTCCCCAAAAAGAAACTCAATATTATAGAACAAGATTAAATGGAATTAAATTTCCAAAATATATTTGCCAAAATAATGAAAAATACGGTTAAATTGGTATGATTTACTGACAAAAAGTAAGATTCTTCTTTTTAAGATTTCTTTCTTTCTTTCTGCTAAACATTGTTAGATCACACCATATGTGTTTTTTTTTCTTCGTCAAAACAGCAAACTGTGACCACACGTTGGTGTTTTAAAAGTACAACTTAGACCAAAATAAGATCTCGTCAAAAAAGGAAAACAAATTGTAATATGATTTGCGCAAAGCCCAATTCGATTTGTTTAAAGTCAATGCCCAAGTTGACCAAAACTACCCTCGGTCATCTATTGACAACCCAAACCCTAAGCACAATTCAAAGGGTAGTTTCGTAACTTTAATAAAACTTGAACACAATTAAGTAGGTGAGGAACCACAAATTTCTTCCGTCTTGTGCTGATTACTCTTTCTGAGCTTTGGAGCTATCGAAATTTCTGAATCTGAAAGGTGAAAAGATCCGTAAGAAAACTCAAGTATAATAAAATCATTCATCATCGCTCTGATTGTTTCGATTTGAATCTGTTTCATGCTTGTTTTGTTCTTCTACTAATCAAAGATTTGATTTTTATCTGATGTGTTCTTGTTTTTTGCAGTTTGAGTAGAGATGGCTTCAGATCGAAAAGTTTTAACTTTCGAAGAAGTTTCACAGCACAACAAAACTAAGGATTGTTGGCTTATTATTTCCGGCAAGGTTAGATCTTGTCTGAGCAAATCTCTGTTTTTAGATGGATTTTACACGAACTTAGTTCTCTTCCGCCATTGATTTGTGTCAAAGCTTAGATTTTTAAGTTTTAGAGCTGAAGTGTTCCTGGTAGTAGCTTTTATCGACACCCTCACGATTTAAAAACACACAATCTTTACTGTTTCTGATGTCGATTTAGTTGATTCACACTGGAGAAACAGAGTTTGTGTCTACTTGGTTATGATTTGTGTTTGTTGCATTAATGTTTGGTTCTTGAACTTTGGGTTTAGGTGTATGATGTGACTCCATTCATGGATGATCACCCTGGAGGTGATGAAGTCTTGTTGTCCTCAACAGGTAGGAAAGATCTTTTGTTTCTCTCTGATCCAATTCGGATTTGAAGCGGCTCTATGATTGTTTCTGTTCTGATGTGGCTCTGGTGCGGTGTTTGGTTGCAGGGAAAGATGCTACAAATGATTTTGAAGACGTTGGTCACAGCGACACTGCTAGGGACATGATGGATAAATATTTCATTGGTGAGATTGATTCGTCTAGTGTTCCAGCAACAAGGACATATGTTGCACCGCAGCAACCAGCGTACAACCAAGACAAGACACCGGAATTCATCATCAAGATTCTTCAGTTCCTTGTTCCGATCTTGATCTTGGGACTGGCTCTTGTCGTCCGTCACTATACCAAGAAAGACTAGAAGCCAAAGGCTTGCTTTTGCTTGTCATTGATTATCTCTACCGATCTGTGTCTATCTCTCTTGCTAAAAAAGTACTGTTACTGTTGTTTGGTCTTAGACTGATTCTTGTTGAAATTACGAACCAAAAATATTGTGTTGCTAGTTTCGTCGTGGTCGCCTAGTTTTGCTTTGTTGAGTTTATGATGACATGTTTTCAACTTTGATGATATAATAAAAGACTGCTTGTTTTGCCCAAACTGATGCTGCTTGATACTCGAAATGAAGTAGGAAACTGGATTTCTACAATTGAACAAATATGATTCATACAGTTGTGGAAATGACAGTTTCAGACTCATCCGTCATATTTCAACAGGAATATTGTTTTGTCTTTTTCATTAGTACTACAATAAAAGTGATGAGGATAGTATTGTGTTTCTCTGTGTGACGGGGAAACAAAAAGAAAGAAGAAGAGAGAGGAGTGAAATCAGTAAGAACCAAACCGCGACAAACTTTAAACCTTGACAAAACGCAGCCAGACGAGTGCAAGGGCATTGTGTAGTGGAAACACTTCATTTCTGGCTTGAATCGACTTCTTCATCAAATACTGTGTGATTGAGAAAGACTTTCAATCTTGTCGTGAAGCGTCACGACAAGATGATGCGCATCATCCAAAAGCTTCCAGACATTAAGCTGACCAGCCATGCTATTACACTCTTCCACAATCTCATCCATACTACTGTATTTCTGTATGATCAGTTTCCTACGTAGTACTAATGCCGCGATTGCATAGAGTAACAGATCATCTGTTGGTGGTGCTTGTTGCCGGATTCTGCTCCATGGTGATTTCCCAACTCCAGCTCTAATGGCAGCTTGATCAGCCCACATCACTTCCCAAAGACAAAGTGTCTGTTCAAAACTCAACTCCCTCCTAAACATAACGAGCACCATCCTGTAAACGAAACTACAATCCTCGGCTTGAAGATTCTCCAAGTGTTTATAAAGCTGAGAGTCTTTGTTTTTTATGATCTTTGAAACAATACTTAGCTGCCTTTGAATCCCTGCTTCGTCAAGCCTGAAATTATGCCGAGCTTTCTTCATGAAACCCACAAAGCACCAGAAAGCCTCGTGATCCTCTGAGATCACAGCGAGGATTGGAGATAACAGATCACTCATTCCTTGGCAGTAGCCTATCTCGGGATCATACATAGCATAAGCTTCAAGAATGGCAACTAGCCGTGCAGCGTGGTAAAGCCTGCAGCTTTCTAAGTGATCATAGTCTTTTAACCCGACAGACTCAGCTAAACCACGAGCTTTGCTTTCTGTGATTGCAGTTGAATATGGCGAATATGTTGCCCACTCAGAATCCGCACGTAAAGCATCAAGCCGGATAATACGTTGCCACGTAGAGAAATCTTCGTGTACCGGAACTTCTATTTGGATCTCAGCTTCAGGAGGAGAACTACTCTCTTCAGAATTGTTATTACTATTATCCTCCTCAGGTTTTTTCGCATCGCTGTATACAAAAGATGGGAGTAGTAGAACATCTTCATTGTCTTCACAAGAGTCTGAATCAGAAGAATCAGTGTTCACAGCAGAGACCACATCTTGATTTGTCATTGATCCCGTAATCTTATAATCATCCACAAACTGAACACATTGATCGTTTGCCTCGTCCGAAGGAAGTTCCTCAAGATTATTAGTATTCCCATTGCCGCACTTGAGAAGCATTTGGCATCGTCTCTGTAGTTTCTCATACTCCTTCCTACATTCAAAGATCCCAACAATGAAATTATCTATCAGCATCAAAATACAAACACTGACTATATATAGATCAAACTAGATAGGCATTTTCTAACCTTTTTTGAGTTTTCACTGCTTCTCTTTCTTCACTAGTACTGTTCAAATCATAGCTGCCATAAGAGAAAACAAGTTGAGAATCTCAACAGAAAGAATAAAAAAAGCATAAAGACAAAAGACAAAACAACGACAAACACTCACACTCCGAGCAAGAACAGCCACACTTCTGCACGAATACTTGGATCAACACCCTACAGAACCACAACAACATACATCAGAGCCAATAAAGAGACAAGTAAGATTCAAGACATACATATGGTCCTTGTTCAAAAGACTCACTCTGCTTCTAACTTTCTTCAGAAATCCAACCCCACCATCACGGAGTTTACCCTCCGGTGTAAACAAACTCCTCCATTGATGCGGCGTCAATGCCCATTTTCTTTTCCGGCGAGACCACGGTGATTTCCGCCGGCTGTTACACAAAGCAAAAACAAGGTCAAGAGTCAAAATAAGAAGTTCCCACAAGCTCAAAATTATCAACATTGATTGCCAAAATCAATCTAACAGCAAAACAAAGAAACAATCCGAACAAAGATAGAAACTTTTCCATCGAAATTAACTGAGAAAATTTATCAAACTTTCCAAACTGAGAACATTCAATTCGAGCTCTATTATTGGATCAAAAAGAGAATCTTTAAGATCCCATCAGAATATTCCCAATCTAAAAACTTTAGCTGCTCACCGATCGGAAGAAGTAACTGAAGATGGAGACGAAGGATTCGCCACAAAGAGAACAGACCGTAGATGGATCCACGACGAAGAAGAATTCGAAGAAGAAGAATTCGAAGAAGAAGAATTAGAATTAGAAGGAGGAGGTGAGGAAGAAGAAGAAGATGGTAACGACGAAGACGAAGAAGAAGGTAACGAAGAAGAAGAAGAAGAAGATGAATTCCCAGAAGACGTTGAAGTATAGCTTCTCCGTAACGCCTTCATCTGATTCTCTAAAAACTTAAACCTAAACCCCAAATCAAAATCAAATCAAAAAGTCTCCTGCTTTCATCAAAGATCTAACTTTTAACAAAACCCATTATCGTCGACGGCGAATCACCGCCGGAACTTCCCCGGTGATTGTAAAGTAAACCTCCTCTTCCTCCTCCTCCGCCGTAGCAGAAATCAAGCATGAGATGTTTAAGAAAAAAAAGACAGATTTGCCCTGTCACTGTGATTGATTGACTCTTATCGTCTTCTTTAGCACGCCGAAACTGAAAAAAAAAAAAGAGAGACGAAGAAGAAGATGAAGAAGAAGGAAAAAAAGCAAAAGCATCCAACAACTGAAGCCTCTCTTAACCACTTTGCTCTTTCTTTTTCAGCTCTTGTCTTTTTTTTTTTTTTTACTTTTAAAACATTAAGCGCGTGGACTCGCGCTTTTACTTTAGTTCTACACGCGCTTTAACTCTCCACGCGATTTGGTAGGTGAATTTTAATGTTAAACAGCGTCGTTTCGTTTTAGTCTTCGTTTGTGGATTTTTACGCGATATCGAGGATGACCAAAGAGGAGATGACACGTGTTCCTATGGTTAAAAACTTTAAAAGTCAAAAGCTAGAAGATTTCATTACGTTCCCACTTTACCACGGCTTTTAAGGAACATAATCATGATTAGTTTTGTAGATTTTCTAGTAAAATTCTTATGTCTACTAGAAAACAAATCTAATCATAAGAATGTTGACCTAATGGACCTACGTCTACTCAATGGTAACTGGTTAGGTTAAGAATTGGATTAACACGATGGCTAGTATATATAGGATAAATACTCTATTTTATAATAGTATTCGTTTGGTAGGATAATGAAATATATTAAATTTCCAAAGCATATACTAACAATATAGTCAAAGGTTTATCTAAATTAGGATTGATTTTTTCTGATTTGATGTTATAGATAACAGAATAACAATAATTCATCATTTGATAGCTTTTCATCTATATTAATGAGTTTTCAATTCGAAATTACTGATTATATGGAGAAAAGTGGGCAACTAGATAATTCAAGATTTATCTAAATAAAAATTTAAGAGATTTACTTAAGTTGATTTACAATTAGATATGTTCAATAACCAAAAAAAAAATAGTACTCGAAGGAACAAATTTAAATGATTATATCAAATGGATAAAGTTTAAACGGATTAGTAATAAATAATATCTGTGGATCGAGTCAAATCAAACCTTGAACTAAGCCAAACCAAAACTTGTTATTAGCAAAATTATAAACAAAGACTGAAAAGAATTTGATTAATATGATATTTATTGTTTATTTTCGTTGTGACTTGTGAGTCTTACTAAAGAGTAACGGAATAAAGAGAAAAATAACTATGCCTTTTTTCTTTTACTGACATAAAGCCGAAGATTTTTTTTTTTTTTTGTGCAAACTGACATAAAGCCGAAGATATGTTATTAAATTTAGCCGCGTATGTCATTAACGAAATCTGGAATATAGTTGGTATTAAATTACAAAAGCATATGGAAAAGAATTTATTCTAATAATAAAGTACTACTAGTAGTAGTATTTTATTTAAATATTTATGAAAATATACTTGCATGTTCTTGGAACTATAATTGTTTTTAAATGATATTCTGATTAACAAGCTAATGAGATTTAAATGGGGAAATTAAAGTTCGTTGGATGGAGAAGACATGACAGCAAGCAAGACTAGTAGCCAAGTTGTAGGTATAAAATAACATTATTATGTTATAGGGATAGACATTTGGTTGCTTGAAAGATAAGTTATGTCTCTATGTAAATGCAGAAATTGCAATGATAAGTTCTGTCACTAAGGAATATAGAGAGCTTAAAAGAGCAGAAAACACGACATTCGAGAACTTTGTTTATGTGTCTCTCACAACTATGCTAGTAATGTCTACCGGCATAAATTGTGGATATCATGTCCAAATCTAAGCTTTCAAATGGTTGCAATTTTCTTCACAATATGTGCATATATATATAGAAGTAGATTAAACACTTGTACTTATACACATTGTTTTCATTTTGTGGTCTAGATGTATAAGCATCTTCTCTTATCATATCATCTTGTTTGAAAAATGTTCTGAATCATCGACTTTGGTGATTCTTTAGCTGCATATTCTAACTGCAGCTGTTCATCATTTGTAAGTTTCCATCCCAGAGCACCCAAATTATCCTCAACATGTCGTACCGACTTGATACCGGGTATCGGTACTGTCCCTTTGCATATACACCAGTTTATTGCGACCTGCAAAAACAGATTAAACTCATTCTTCAAAGTGTCATATTTTCTTCTTCCCAATTATCTTATGGAGTAATAATTTACCTGAGGCATAGTCTTTCCTCGTTTCTTTGCAATCTCGCTCAGTGCTAAAAGCAGAGGTTCTAATCCAGGAAGAATTTGTCGAAACAGAAATGATCTGTTTAAAAAGTGTTCAAGCATAGTTAAAAACAGGAAAATACGGTTAGTTTGTCGATCTTTTAAGCAATCTTTAAGTACTTTACCGAGGACCAGTGGGAAGTTTTGAAGGGGAGTATTTCCCAGTTAGCATTCCTAGACCAAGAGGACTATAAGAGATTAAACGAATCCCGAGCTTGTCGCATATACTCTTGATCTCTAGTTGCTCTTTCCCCATGCTGAGCAATGAGAATTGCACTTGCGCAGAGCATAAAGGAACCCCTCGGGTTTTAAGGTAATCATGAATTTTCACAAGCTGTTGAGGTCCATAGTTACTGACTCCAACCGCTCGAACTAGGCCCTGAAAAAAAGGAACCCTCATCATCAACTTTCCAAGTGCTTAATAATCACTGAACAGATTTCATATCTTAGTAGATTTTCCAAGCAACCTTTTCATACATTTGCACTAGACCATCCCAAAGAACAAGCTCTTGTAGAGGCGCGTAGTTTGCAGTCGACCAGTGAAGCTGTCCGATCCCGAGCTGATCTATCTGAAGCCGGTCTAAAGAAGCTCTGACACAAGAACAGAACATCCAATTTAACACCAATCTCCAATAAACCAGAAGTGAAAAAAAGAGACCAAAATCAAGACTTAGAGAGACCTGCAGGCATTCACAAACTGTCCTGAAGTTAATCTCCATGGATAAGCTGCAAACTTTGTAGCTACCACTACTTCATTTTGTTTCCCTTTTAGCACTGAAATTTGCAACCATAAATCATCATCTTAAAGCCTTAAACACAACACATAAATCATAATTGCATCAGCAAAACGCAACAGTAACATATCAAGACAGCTCCAGGATGCAATTTAAAACCAACTAAAGGGAAAACTGGGAGAGGTTAAAGAGAAACAGACCTTGAGATTCTCTGATGAATTTTCCTAAAAGTCTCTCACTTTGACCATTAAGCCTACCAGTGCCATAAGAATCAGCAGTATCAAACAAATTGATTCCATTTTCCAAAGCCAATTCAAAAGCTTCTTGAAGCTGATCATCCATGGAAGTCTGATAACCCCAAAGAAGCTGATTGCCCCAAGCCCATGTCCCAAAACCCATAGGAGAAACACTTAAAGGACCCATTTTTACCTAAAACCATCGATCATTCATTCAATTACATTAAAAAGGAGAACACTTTGTTACGTTTGGTTTATATAAGTATTGGTGTGTTACCTTTTCCCATGGCCAGAAAAGAGGAAGCTTGAGAGGCTTAAAGGTGGTTATGTTTGAGCAGTTTATATTAGTGAAAGTCTTTGTGGTTGACAATGTTAAAGCCATTGAGAAGAAGGCTCTCAAGCCTTTCTTCTGCTGTTTCTCACTGTGTGGATGTTTTTGGAGATAAACTGTCTACGCTTTTTCTGGGAAAATTTAATTTAACTAGATGAAAACCCACGCGTGGGTTTGTTTTAAAAGTTGTTAATAACAAATTATTTTGATTGTTCTTGTTGCTAGTTAATCACCCGCTTTACGCCGCGGTTTTTTCCGGTTTTTTTTTATTTAATTTTGATTTATTTGATGTTATATTATGATAAATGTAATTTTTAATTATCTAATCATTTACTCATACAATGAACAACTATTCTTAGTATTAAAATACATTTTCAACCAACATACTCAACAATGCATCACTCACACAATCCGTATACAATCTTTCCTAAACCAATTTTATAGATGGTAATGTTAGGATTATAGAACATCCAAAATTTGATGACCTTACGTACTCTTCACCCTCAGTGTCATATATAGATCAAAAAATTAAGAGAAAAACTTACTCAAACCATTAGCTAATCTATTATACTATTATCCACTCATATTTTGAGTTAAAATTACAAAAATTAGCAAAAAAAAACTTTGGAGTATATAAAACCAATAAAATAATTTCATGGAAAAAAACATAAAATAACAAAATAAGTTAGTATTAGTAAAAATCAATATGTAAAATTAAATAATATATATAATTAAATAATAAATATATTATTAACTTGTGAAATAGATTTTCAAATTCATATGGGCCATCCCTCATGGGCTATTGTGTTTTCCCCATTTGACATTAATAATTAGAAGCTGATGTGTAAAAAATAAAAGCTGACTCATATTAATAAAATGTTTTGATTGGATGGAAAGAAAACTGATGTGGCATTTCCAGAAGAGCCTAAAATGCTGACGTGGCGATCATATGGAGAGAGATAGTCTCCTTTCATATATATGATTTTTCAATTACTTTGATATATATATTCAATTTAATGTCAATGAAATAAATTGATTTTTAGAGTAATTGTATTTGTGAATGTGGGAAAGGAAAAAAATATATATGGTAGGCCTCTGTTTATGGGTCCAGGCTCATAATATAATTTTGTGGAAGCCCACCCAAAAAACTATAGTGTATAATTTTCCCCCAAAAAAAAAAAAAATCAGATAAGTCTTTTTGGAAATTTATTTAATCAATTATAAAAATAGTATGGATGTTGATTTCTATCTTTTTTATTTTATTTTATCAAATAACATGTTACCATGCAAAACAGTATGTTACCGGATTAAATAATATGTTATCTTTATTTGCGTAACTTCAAAATTAGCATCATTTTTTACAATTTCTGGTGTCATTTTGCAAACAAGCTTTAAAAATATGCTATTTATTGCATATGCCAAAAGGAAAATAGAAAGAAGAAAACAATATTCTTCGAAAAGAAAAGAGGTGAATGTCCAGAGGAGGTCTTACAAGAATCTGATTACATAGCAAGTAATAAAACATGTGCAAATTGAACATCCATTATTTTAAAGTTTTGTTACGGTGTCATTTTTGCAACCAAGCTCTGAAAATATGCTATATATATATATATATAGTGCACATACGAAAAAAATATTCTTTGAAAAGGGAAACAGAAGAAGAATGTCCAAAGGAGGCTTACAAGAATCTGATTACATAGCGAGTAATAAGAGCTTTCTCGCTTGCAAGTATGATTATTGAGTTTGTGAAAAAGTTTTTTGTTTGTGAAAAAGTTTATGCCCGAAAGAGAATGCAATTACAGAAATGAAGAAAGAACCAAACAATTTTGGGCCACCAAAGACTTTTATCCCTCAGCAATTGCATGCACAATTCGAATATCCAAACGCACATAATATGACTGAATATGAAATGATACTCAATTAAGACCAAAACGAATACGAATAGATAAATATTTCTTTCGACGTAACTACATTTTTGTTTGACATCAATTTAATTTACGTGTCATTGCTTTTACTATGTGTAGTTTAGTATTTTTCGGTGGACTTTAACGTATAGTCAAAACAACATAAACACATTTAAAATTTATTTACATGACGAGCTAATCCGTGTCTTGATTAAGTAGCTCTAGTCACATCCACGTAAAAAACGACACCTATCGTATTTTCAATTGAAATTAATGTTTCACTTTCACTTGATAAAAAGAGAGATTTTAAATTCACATTGGCGACTCGACGATGATGTAATTAACGAAATAGAAAATGTTTGTTCGTTTTTCTCGGAGTAGTTGAAATCTGAAAGCTTAGATTGTGTGGGTGGAGAACCTCTACTCAGACAGACACATGCAATTAAATAATTAATTGACATAGATTATTAAGTCAAATAGCTTTTAAAAATATATTCAAATGTTTGGTTGAGAGTTTGAGCCACTCGAAACACAAATCTTTTTTAACATGTGGGATGTGGCCCTAAACACCAAGGATGCTTTGGTCATATTCTACGAATATGATCCTTTGTATATATTTTTCTCTTTTCCAGTTTATCTAAATTTGTTATGATAACAACAAGCACTAGGGGTCGGTATTTGCTTATTAGGTTTGGGTTAGAAATAGTTTTGATATATAGTACTGAAATTCCTTTGGGTTGATTTGATATGGTTTGATTCTTTTCAATGTTTCTGGTTGAAATAAAAACAATATATATACTAATAAATATTCAAATAAGGATTATAGAAAAAAAAATTAGTAGGGAAACAATTTTAAATAAATCAGGTTAAATTTATGAAGTTTTTTTTTAATTTGATGTAAATTTTGTTTGTTTCAGTTAGAATACGAGAAACCTTTCGGTTTAATTTCGTTTCTTATGATCTTGGGTAAACGACCTGTGTCCCCCTAGGAAGTTTCATATAGTATCACAACTACACAGAATTCGGACCTCGACCGCAGTCCACACAGATCAGAAGTTAAACTCCAATTTCCCCCCAAATCAAAAGTTCGAGACCTTGGTCTCCAAAATTTTGAATTTCGTGGTTTATCTGTGGTTTACTGTACCGAACCGATGCCAAACCAAAACCCAGTAGAATAAACCGAATTAATAAACCGAATTGAAATCCTTTCGTGATTATGAAACACTGATGTCGACATCGGACGTTGAGCTATTGAAGAGGGCGTGGCGAGAAGGCGGCGCCGGAGATTCTTCAGTACGAAGGAGCTCTTGTTGACCGAGCCAAAGAACATATGGAATTAGTGGTAAAATCTCTAAAACCCTAATTTTTGGATTCACCAGAATTAGCACTAAATCCGCAATCTTTTTGTTCCATGATTCTAATTAGCAGAGTACTGCTCTTGTATGATTGATTACGCTTTTTTGTTCTGTTAACATCATTGTCTTGTCACTTCCATTTTCTAGTGGAAGGAGTTTGGAAATTTGAAGTTATTGAAATGTTTGTAATTAAACAGGAAGAAACAATTGAAGATTATGTGGAAAATGGCATAGACCCTCTCATGGTGTCTCTTTATCAGATGGATTTGGACAGAGCCCAGTTTCTACTCAGATCTTATCTCAGGGTTAGGCTTCTCAAGGTGATGCTATCGGCGGTCAGAGTTGTTTCCGAAGGAGCTGGCGACAAAGGTGTATTCTGGTCAGAAGGAGAAGCAGGAGACTGAACAGGGGATGGAGATTTTGGTGTCGGAGATGGAGTCGCCGGAGAGTGAGATGGAGCATGTGCTGGCGAGTGAGCTGGTGAGTGAGAAACAGGGGTGGGGGAATTTGGTGACGGAGATGGAGTCGCCGGAGAGTGAGATGGAGAATGCGACGGTGAGTGAGAAACAGGGGAAGAAGACTTAGGTGGTTGTGCTGGAGAAACAGATGATTTAGGTGTCTGAGATTTTGACGGAGGAGTCGCCGGAGAAGAGGATCTCGGAGGTTTAGCCGGAGAAACAGGGGAATGAGCTTTAGGTGGTTGAGCCGTTGAACGAGGATTAGCCGGAGAAACTGAAGGAACAGGGGAATGAGATTTAGGAGGCTGAGCTGATGACGGAGGTTTCGTCGGAGAAATAGGAACCGTCTGGTGATCTCTGACGGCGAGAACAACGACGATCAGCTTCTGTCCCTTTTTACAGTGATCTTCATTACCACTTATGAAATAAAAAGGACCAGATCAATCAAGCGTTACCACAGATTCACCATTATCAAAGTTCTTGATCGGATTCCTAACATAAACATGTGAATTAAACATAATCACGAAAGGATTTCAATTCAGTTTATTAATTCGGTTTATTCTACTGGGTTTTGGTTTGGTATCGGTTCGGTACAGTAAACCACAGATAAACCACGAAATTCAAAATTTTGGGGACCAAGGTCTCGAACTTTTGATTTGGAGGGAAACTGGAGTTTAACTTCTGATCTGTGTGGACTGCGGTCGAGGTCCGAATTCTGTGTAGTTGTGATACTATATAAAACTTCCTAGGGGGACACAGGTCGTTTACCCTATGATCTTTGATTAGATTCTATTCAAATGTCAAATCTTTTTTTAGAGTATAACTAATCATTATACAATCTTAATATTAACGACACTAGTTTTTTTTATAATGCCTTTAATTCTGCCTTCCCTGGCGTGTATGGACACTTTGACAAAAAGTCGTCGTTCGCTTTTATATCAAGAAAAATAAAAACTCAAGATCAAAGTTATAACAAAGAGCACATGATTCCAACTTTCTTGGTAATCCAACGGCTATTACTCATCCATATGGTCGTCATTTGTCATATCGTGCCGACATGATGGTCCGCAAACTTTGGAACCTTCTTATTCTCTCGTAATTAATCCTAACGAAACCAAACGGAGCTGATGGCAGCAAAACCAATTCTGGTCTCATTTTGGCCTAATAAAGATCCTCATTGAATCATAACTACATTGGAGCTTCCATTGCTAATACGTAGAATAGTGAAATGGTGATTTATATATATATATATATATATATATAAAATTACACTTTATAGAAAAAAACAACGTAATATATAGACATTGGAGTTCCGATTAGCAACACGTATAATGGTGGAATGGTGTTTTTAATGCGATTATGTAAAAAATTTACCAATTAAAAATATTTGCATAATATTTACTACAACGT